TGGAAATTTCATTTTGCCTTGAACGTAGAAAGGTGGCATTTACTTAATAGGAAGGGCCGGTTTCACGGAAGATTGTATCATTGAAGGATGTAAACAAGTACGTCGATCCTAATGATGATACCGGAGAATAGAATCAGATTACTGTGATATACGTAGATCCGACGCCTACAAAAATATCCGTCTCGGCGCAAATGACAGTTTTAGGTTGACTAGCTACCTTAACTTGGATCTAACCAACACCTGCGATTAGACCAAGCGAACAAAAATATCACCTGCTGATGAAGTCCTAATCACTGTATTTACGTGGAATTGTTTTCCAAAAAAAGTAATAGGACAAAAAGTCAACAGCCACAGTTACAACCGCGTCGGTGAAAACCCAGCAGTTTACCAAGGGGAGTTGGCCAAAAAACCCGATTCCAAACTAACGAGGAGCCATAAAAGCTACACCCATACCTGCCTGCTCCTAGCTGTCGTCACCAGTTTGATTGAATATCAAGATGTATTGGCCACATTGGACGTGTGATCCCGTTCAAAGGGAGTAGGACTTAAGCTGGTTACTCACTGGTCAGCAATGAGTTGCAGTTTCCACACACTGCCCCGCTGCCCTGCAGATTAGGCTTTGAATAGCCGAAAGCTCCGGTTGTGAATGCTCAAATAAAATTAAGCTACTCTGACTACAGTAACCTCACAATATGCTTTCTATGGACCCATTCTTCTGTAATATAAACTATTTCCCAATAACTTGTTTGCCTCCCGTATGGACTGAGACATGTTTGAAATATGCTACAGAAATAGGCATATCCGACCAAAGGAAGCATCGAAAATGGAGTCGTATGAAAGGCATACAATAAACAACGAAAACAAGATGAAGGAAAACTCAGAAGAAACGTGGTAATCACAGTGATGAACAGACTTCCAACTGGCTTATTGATTTGCTGCAAGCTTTCAACCAATTAGTTGTATCGATTTGTGGTTTTGCTCATTATGACAAAAATAACATCCGTGGTTTCTGTTGGGTACACAGTACTGATGCGAATTCCATGAATAACTTTGAGACACTCCGCAAGTGCTTCAATGATGTGTTGTTAGACATCAATTGGAATCTCTTCGTTAGGGATCCAGAGAAATTGGAAAAAATATCGATGCAGTCCGGTTGAAATGTATGAAATAAGTGAGAAACTGACGGGTCTATTTCATCAGATCGTACGTGAACTAAAATGATTTCTTGCTGGATATTCACTATCTATGGTGGTACGCAGTGAATACGTGTAAGGTGGGCAAGCTTTGTCAAAACCACGTAGTCATCAATTTTTGTATTGACTGAGAACATGAAATGTCTATTTTCATTATTTCTGTTGATCATATATGGACCGGCTTGTTCAAGGTAACTTAAGAATGTACGACCTTGTGGATGATTCGGTTGAGTGATCTTCGGTCCCGTGATAAAGACAGAAACATCGAGAATGCCTGAGGCTACGACTAGTGAGACAAGATACAGGACAGTCCACATCCTCTTTGGCGGTTAGTTTAATTCGCACTTGAAGGCCTCTTTGGTGACGATCTAGGAACCTACCATACCAAGTTCTGTTGTGGGACACATTCCACAAAACAAGGTACACCAGCAGTGAGAAGCACCTACCAGTCGCATCACATTTGGCGGTTTCAGAGAATGCACAACTTATGCGCGAAGAGTTATCATATCAGTGATACGATCGGCAGCGAAAACCGTTCCGCACGGACCCAGCGTATTTTTGAGGACGGTGTGAAACCGAATGCTCTGAGTACGGTAATTACTGAATAGGATAACGCCTCCTAACATGACATAAATCAGGTAGGCTACGTTTGAGAAGTTTCGTCAATGACAAAGATTAACATATTTAGAAGCAAGAGAGTGCACACGCATTTCGAAGCATGTATTTATACGAGTGCGTCCGACTTGGACATTGTTGAGAGCATGCTTTGTATGTTTGAAGACAACAAAGTGCAACCAAAATATTACCGGCAAAATGAGGGACAGTGAACGAGAAAAATCACAGGAGATATAAATTCGGAAGAGTATGTCGACAATTTATTAAATTTAACATCGAAAAAACTTGATGTGATCGAAAACAAAGATCACACAATTTGCTGTTTTCTTCACAAGTTGTTGTAAAAGTTCCTCTAGAAAATATAGTACATTATCAGCTGTGATACGTTTGTTTCTGATGAGCCTGATTTTGGGATTGAAGATAAATAATGATTGTATAATGACGAAATGGTAAATATTCGATAATAGGATACAAACTGGCATCCAGAAAAAAACGAAGAGCAGTTATTGATCGAACTCATGCGATATTGCGACCTTCATCAGATCTCTTGTTTTCCATGCCGAGCGTTTTGAGGCACATTGACGTGAATGAATATGGTATTGAAAAAATAATGTCCACTTATTTACCTGGTCGTAAAAATAAGATTTCGCGAATGCGATGAAGGTTTCTGGTGCATCAGTGGCATCGTTAGAAAAACTTCAGTATTGTCGAGGATAGGTGTCTAGGTTTGCGGCTGGTCACCCGTCCCTTGCACCTCGCGAAATTCCCCCGTACGACCAAGCGTCTCAAATAGCCGCTACTGAGGAAGTCCTACTCACTGCCTTCTCATGGCGGTGTTTTTGCACGAAAGTGAGAGGACGAAAAGCCGATATCCGAGGCTATAACCGGGTTGGTGAACCACTAGCAGTTCACCTAAGGGAGTTGGCCAAAAACCCTGATTCCAAACCAACCAAGAGGAGGCGTACGAACCACACCCACCTTTCCGGTTGTGGCAATGGACACCGGCTCGATTGGGTATCGAGGTGTAGTGGGTACCTTGGACATCTGACCCCGTCCGAAGGGCGTATGAACTGGACACCGGCTCCCAATGGATTGCGGTTTTCGCACACCGCCCAGCTGCCTTGTGGGTCAGGCTTTGGTCAGCCAAAGGCTCCGGTTGTGGATCCCCCCCCCTCCCAGAAAATTCTTCTGCCTTGGCCTGGGCAACCTGGAAGTATTCGGCTCACTTGCAAATCGTGGAGCGTTTTTCTTTTCATAAAGATTATTGTACCACGATTTGTTTGGCACACAGTCTGGCATCAGACGTGTATGAAATATATATATCGTAGGAAAACAACCACAAGAATTTGTTCATAAAATTGACTCATAGGCATGATACAGGCGGTTTGTCAATACCTTGTATACTCTCTTTTACATTTGAGCATTTGAACCAGCCTTTTTAGCATTCAGTCTACCAAGTTGATAATCAGATCGCATCTATCAGTTGCCCCCAGAACATACCGTACCCTGACCTTTATTGACTGCTGTCGAGGTAGCTAACTCATGTCGGTCTTCAACACAGAAAACGTTTTCGATTACATTCAAATCCCGGCTATTCGGTGGTAATTGAATGAATTAGACATCCAGAAACTGTACAAGTGTGAGAAAACAATGTGTAATGTAGTCTCAATAATGTCTACGACCAACCTCGTGTTATATATGACATTGAGCTTTTCTTAGAAAAGCATGGCGTTCTAAAAATGCGTTTCGAGAGTGGCGTTCATCGAAAAACCTGATTCATCGATACAACAAATTTCGCACTATATAGTGCCATGTACGGGAGCCCAGCAACAAGGTGCCGGGTATTTAATTTCTTTCTAACTGATCGGATGGGGAGAATATTTACTTTCTGCGACAGGCGAAGTGGATTTATTTGGAAAACTAGGTCATAAGAACACCCTTATAATCCCGCGTTCGATCCTGGGTTGAATCAATGGACCTGATGAGACTCAACAAGGTCAACACAGCTGATTGGTGGTTTATGGTCTTTTAGTTCACTGGGATGTAACAACATTGAAGCGGCTCTCTAAGACCTTGTTTTTATGTGTTATGTACCCCTACCAAATTCAAGTGGCGAGTAGGGTGACGAACGCCGAAACTTTTATCACTAAATTCTATAAACAACTTTCCTAGAAGTAACAAATTACAGGGTACTCATATTCCAAAAATTGGCACATTTTTTACCGTCATTTACCAATGTAGCTGGAAAATCACAAGACACCCATTAGGGTCATGTGGAACAGTGATAAAGCTTGATGAGAAAACAAAACAATGCTTGTATAGAGCGTTACTGTAAAGAATCACACGCGCAATCGAGGCCAGTAAATTTGGGGTGCTTTGATAACGTAGGGCAGAGAGGTACCAAATTAAGTACAAAGAAACCACTAGAAATTGACAATTTCCAAGTGAGTGTGAGAAACGAATGTTGTGTGTAGCGTGAGTCAAACGAAATGACAGGGAACAGACGGAGTTTCCGAGAAAGCCGAACACCTTACGTCGTCCGGAGATTACAGATTACTGTACATAAGTGGTGAAATTTGTTTCTATTTATAATCAATGGTTTAGGTTTCGTTGGATGAGTTGAACAAAAGAAAACACAACAGCTACTTGAATTTGGTTCAAAAAGGTTTGTTATAGAATTACAACAGATGATTTTACACCCTACGGAACTAAGATCTGACCAGGACCGTCAAAAGAGAGCAGCTGAATAATGCGCAAGATGCTTGGATATGGATGGCGGGCATGCTCAAGTGACTTTTGCAAAGGAAAAGAGATTGTGTTGGCGGGGTTGGACAGTGGGTTAATTAATCGGCAAGGTAGAGAGCATGATTTGGTGTAGAAGAAGTGTAAATCCGAACTGAAAAAGGCGAGAAGGACCGTACAGTTATTTATTTTAACCTAGTAGAGTGCCATCCGAAATGCGAATCCATCAACTTTGATGACAACTGAACCCGGTATTTCATAAGCAGAATCACCCAATTGGCCATCAGAAAATTGGTCACACTGGTCTCTTCGCAGCGTAAACCATAGTTACGGTCCAAGCGCGGAAGACTAACCTGGCTCATTCTAACAGTGGCCTTCTAGGGCTAAAAATTAGATTCAGTTTTCAGTTTGAACAACCATTAACCATGCACTTTCGTGCGCCGGTTTTGGTTGCT